TTTTTTTGTGTTCTTGAGGGAAATACATTTTCCTTACTATATTCTTATAGCCTCCCTCTTTACTCAAGAGTTTGTGTTGAGTACCAGCAAACTGGAAAGTTAATCAGGTGAAATGCTATAACATTCTTGCAGAATAGATTTATAGAGAATACCAACTTTCCTTGTCATGTTATGCCAGCGAAGGTGGGATATGCTTCATCATGATGGCTCACTTTGCTGGAGTGCAGGCTTAACTGTTATCAAAGTTAACTCAAGAATTCTCAGTGCAAGCTAATGTTAAAATTGAAAAGATACATGTTTCCATAGGGAATACTTATTGTCCTTGCAGCTGTTACAGTACAAAACTTTTCCTTGCAGTCAAACCAAGCTTTGCGTCAAGGAGAGATGTTGAGTAGGGAACAGTTGCAATTCTTAACATTGGGTGCTCAAGGAGAACTGGCTGATCCAGAGAGAAAAGAACTGATTTTGAAAGTCAACAATTTGCTCAAGGTAAAACTTTTTACCATGCAGTATAATGTTTGTTTGATTTTTAAAAAAGAACATTTAGGGTATACACACCCTGTACATTGGTTTGGCTTGAATTAAAAATGGAAGAGCTGGTTAACCTGTGTTTCTATGGAAAGAGGGAAAATGAGCCACATAGTATTTAATGTTTTATATCATTTGATTAACCCTTTAGACCCTAAGACTGACCATCATCTAATTTCTCCCTACAGTAATACTGCTGAGTTATTCATTAAAATCTTGAAATAAAGGAAATGATCACCAAACTCTCCTTATTAACATCTTAGGAAATGAATGGAGAACAGTGTGGAGTATATGCATACTGCTGTTAAGGTTAAGAATAAAGAGAGAAAACAAATTCTAAGGAAAAGAAACTACTAATTGTGTCACTTTTGGGTATTGAACCATGAGCCCTCTTCCCTCCCTGTGGGAATTTTCCCAATTTTCCACACCATGCATATCCCATAAATTAGGAGAAACAGAGACATTCCATATTTGTTTATGGGGCTTATTTATAGAATTACAAAAAGGTGTTTAATCAAGCTCCAACACCAGAAGCAGACATACCTGCTGGCTTCCACAGGAATCCCAGGGGAATAGAGCTGGCTCTAAAGGTATGTAACATCATCAGATGCAGTAGAGTATGTCAAAAAATCTGGCCATCAAAAAGGCCAAATTTTGGCCATAAAAAGTTACTCATCTACTCTGTTTTATTGTGGAAGGAGGTTTGATGATGATTGTTTTTGAAGAGGTAAACGATTTATATGTAAATATTGATTCATGGCAAGAGATTATGACAGATATATAAATACAAATTAGTCAGAAAACATTGTGTCTGGATTGTGATGAAATGCTGTGCAACTTGAAAACAAGTGAAATGATCAGAATTTAATCTAATTCTTTTGGTCTAAGTAACCAAGAGATAGAGTTATTTAGCTCCTAGGCACTTAAGATTCAGAAATCAGAACCTCTAGTACATTTAAGGACTGGGAAATCATGGACATGACTTTTAACAGGGTTGCTGTAGTGAAGTGGAAGCAATGGCTGCTGGTGGTGTCACAGAAGCTGTTACTGCTCAAGAAATGGAACTGCAGATTTTGAAGCAGATTCCAAAATTACAACTAAAAATTGGTGAGAGATAGTTTGATGAGTAATCTTGCTACTAAATTAATATAAACTAGATGATACATATGCCAGACACTATTTCAATGTTGTATTGTAAATCCAAGATACAATAAGTGGTTGTTATCTTGATCTAGAAGGAAATGTGAAGTAGTTTGTGGGGAAAATTGACAAACAGATCTTGAGAATTGAAGAGTCAGGTAAAAGCAACTTATGTTAACTTTTCATTGTCATCATCATTGTGGTCATCCATTCTTATCCAAAAGTGCATAAGGCCATAAATTTGATATATTCCTCTAAATTATTCCTCTTGATAAGTTGTGTCCTTTCTGGGCTAATTTCTACTGGTATGAAACTTGTTGTTTTAAAAGAAGTGATCACAGGGAAAATAAATTTGTCTTTGTCTTCTTCTTCTTCTTCTCTCTTAGGTTATGTGTTGACTGAAGTTTGCTCCTCTCCAAGTAAAGCCAATGACAATTACAAATCTAAGCTGGTAACTACCTTAAGTAGATAATAAGTCTAGATGTGTAACTGGACAGTTTTTGAATGCAGCCATTTTCTCTTATACCGCATAACCTTTTGTGTCACTAAGTGAAGTTTTATTTCAACCCAAACAGCACTGTATCAGAGACCTGGTTAGTTCTGTTGCAAAGCAGAATGACATCCCTCTCAATCGTGATACCTTGGATATGTTTGTGCTGATGGTGCTGTATGAGGCCTGTTCTCCAGCATGCAGTTCTGCAGCCAAAACAGCTGTACAGCTTCTGTTTGGCAAAGCCCATTTGGTAAGAAAATATTCATGAGACTCAGCAGCTCTGATTGTTTTGATAATACTTTTGGACTGGTTAACTTAGAAGCTTTGTAACTCAAAAGGTAGAACACAGGAACATGTATGTATTTGTTAATAGCCAGAACACAAAGTCAGAAAAATAAAAAAATAGGCCAATAGTGTTGGTTATGAAGCTTTATATTAAGTGGCCTGAGTTGGTCAATGGATTTTAACCATTTGAACAATGTTGTGAGAATTAGCAAAACCATTCACAGAGGTTTCTTCTTTTCTTTCCTTTTTTTTTTCCCTGTTATTGGTGTACAGAATGTATTTGAAAATATGTCACAAAGCAACTTACGCACTGTTATTTAACTGCATGGCATTACCCTTGTATTAAGGTAACAACTAAACCAAGCAAAGAGAAAAACACTCGGCTGGCCCAAGTGTATGTAAAAGGAACATCCATTCATGTAGAGGTGTCCACCACATGGTATGTAGATATTTGGTTTGATACATAATATTCAACCGATTCCTTTGTTAAATGCTAGACTTAATCTGTGTGTAAATTTACCACCCAGTGTCAATAAATCAGAAATGGAAATAGGATGTTTTTATCAGGTAGCTAGACTTTGTATAACAACAATTTTTTTCAGCAAGAAGGGAGAATTTGTTACTAGATCTTGGGAGTTAAAAAGTTATTGACTAAGTTTCAAACACAAAATGAGAGAAGAAATAAAGAGATAGTCTAAAAAAGAGATAAGAGTGAATTTTTCCAGACTTGAATCAACAAGATTCTCTTGCTTGGTGATTTATTTGTAAGGTAGCTGGCCATTTTGGCCAAAACATTTCATTAAGCAAGTAAGATGAGAGAATTATCAATTTTGGCGCAAATCCTCAACAAAAGCTTTAAGTATTCTGCTCTGGCTTACAGACTAATATCCTTGAGTCTAGAAAGTGAAACCTGTTAATAACTGCAGTTGCAGTAATGGTAATGCTAAAACAAACATCAGGGATACTGAGAGGGGCAAACAAAAAGGATGACATGTTAACAGTTGCATGCTACCATACATGTAAAGTATCCAAAACATAAAATGGTTTTGCACTTTTCATTATTTTAGGATAATCACAGAAGACTCCTCCACCTTTGCTTGCTTGTCTAAGGACTTGGACTTTCCTTCTCCTCTGGGAACAGTTGATGCTGTTTACACATCCAAGTTTAGTTTAATGGATTATTTAGAGGACAAGTGAGTGACATTCAGTTACAGCTTTAGCAGGCATCAAAGTACTACTATTAAGTAAGGGTCATGAAGAAACATATTGAGAATTAATATGCATCATCTTTGCATCACTGTATGATGTATGAAACTCAGCTGTGATTTGCTTGCAGTCAGCACTTGGATTGGCACATTTTAATCCCTACTCTTTTGCTGAATTGTTTAGCTAGATGTCTACTGCTGTAAGGCCTCTTGTTTTTATTTGTTTGGTTGTACTTTTTGTGTGTTGGTTTTTAGTTGTTTGTGGAGGCGCGGTGGCCTCATGGTTAGTACGCTTGACTCCAGATCGGGTGGTCCAGGTTCGAGCCCTGGCCGGGGTCATTGTGTTGTATTCTAAGGCAAGACACTTTACTCTCACAGTGCTTCTCTTCACCCAGGTGTACAAACGGGTACCAGCAAATATGCTGAGGGTAACCCTGTGATGGACTACCATCCCATCCAGGGGGGAGTAGCAATAATCCTAGCTGCTTCATGCCAAGAAAACTGGAGTTAAGCACGGGCCCCATGGGCCACTTGGGCCTGTATAATGGCAACTTTTAGTTGTTTAATCTAGTATTTGTTTTATTTTGTTTTTTTTTTATTGTGGGCAAATATGTTCTTGAAATTCTATTCCACTGATTCTTCTTACTGGGTGTAGTGTTAAGGATATCTTTTTTTTTTGGGGGGGGGGAGGGGGGCATGTAGGAATTAGGCTTATTGTGTAAATAACTTAACATCTCTTTATTGTGGTTTTTGACAAATCCTTTAACAAGTTGTTTATTATATATATCATAGTATTATTGTCAGTGTTTTTTCTCTCCTAATTTTGTCATTGTTGTTGTTGTTTACAGAGAAAGGCCTTTACCTGCCATTCATGTTAAGCGTCGTAACCTTTCCAAGTCTCCACCCTTGTTGACCAAACTTGATATATCACCAAATCATAAGCACAAGAGCTTCAGAAAGACTTTTACTAAAGCCACATCCAAGATATTTTCTCGGAAGTCTGTGACATCCAAAGCAGTCAATAATCTGAATGCTGTGGTAGATGCAAGCAATCAAAATGTTCTATCTGGTGCTGGGGCTAAACAGGAGTTGTCAGGTATACTGTGCATAAGCAAATTATTAAAATCAGGATCAAACATCCCAGAAAGAAAATAATCTTCAGCTAGCTGTGACCAATAAACAAATTTCATGTGATCACATCATCTTCATCTATAATGAAGTGAATTTTATTGTGAGATCAATGAGCTATGTAATTAAACTTTATTTCAACTTACAGCTGTGCAGTATTTTATCCAATGTTCTTCAATATTTTGGTTTTTTTTGAGAAAAATTTATAAGGAAAACATTTTTTTTCCTTTGGATGGATATTGATTCTGTCTAAATGAATGCAATCTGAAGGGGATTGAAATTTATTTCTCTCAGAGATTCTATACAACTGAAGTGTAACAATTAAACAAAGCCTCACTGTTTTAAAACACATAATTACATGTTTACTAAAGCAGTTTGCCTAGGGTCATTCTGTGAGGTGGGTCTAAAAAGAGATCCTATCTCCTAACTGTCCTAAATATTTGGTTCATACATGCAGAGTTTTTCTGTTTTCACAAAATCATTTAATTTGATTTCATATCACTCTGGATTTCAGGTTACCGCACATCTGTTGCATCCAGCACTGACACAGGAGAGGAACATGACACTGACATTGATGACCCAGCTCCTCTTCCCCCACCACGCCCACGTCACTGGGCAAGAAGGGCCAAAGAACAATCAATGGCTCCTGAGAGTATTAGTTCCACCTCAGGAAAGATTGTTGAAGAGCTGAGCAAGGCTGATGATCCTTTGTCACCAAGTGATTGGTCAAAGTCTGTTCCACAATTTCCACTGCCGACTTTTAAAAGCACAATGCCGTGTAAGTAGAATTCACGAGCAATTAAATGTAAATTGTACGAAGCTCTTGCTTCTTGGAAGGAAAGAAAATTCCATTTCATATGTCAACAGAAAAAATTCAGATATTGTTTTAAAGTATTCAATAATAAAGCACAAATAGAAATACAAAGTCAACAGATTTAACACAGAAGGTAGGTTGGGTCAAAGTCTACATGTTGACCTACCATTTGATTCTTTACTGTACACGCTTGACAATATTTTGCACCTTTCACTAAGCTATTTTGTGGTTGATTGAGATTTAACAACATTTCATATTTAGGGAAAAATCTTTATTTTTAGACTGTCAGAGTGAATTGTCGCTTGCTTCTCAAGAAGAACTCACAGATGTGATAAACTTCCTTTCTGGTGCGCCAATTAAACATCGGCTAATATCAGATGATGATGCAAATCCAAGCATGGCAGAAAGTCACATGACTCCCATAGACAGTGGCCTGGGAAGCATTTACAGTGTAGCTTTAAGCAACATTACTGTTCCTAGCTCTGCAACTGCATGTCCAAATGAAGAAACTGAAAAAAAGGAAACATGCAACAAGAGTCAGTCAGAAACCAAGGAAAGGGTTAACACCCCAGTGCTTAATTTGTGTGAGGGGGTTAACTCTTCCCAAGGAACGATGGTCACCACAGAAACGCAGACCTCACCATCAACTGAAACATGTCCAGTTTTGTTTGTCAAATCAGCAAATGCAGACAATGAAAGCCAACCTGAGCAAAACCAGCCGGCAAAGGAAGATAAAGAAGGTGGTGTCAAAAATCCAGTCCTAGAGTTACCACCAGATAATACGAAGTCAGAAAGTGAAAATAAAACTGTTGATGGTGCTGAAAAGAAGACCAACACTCCCCAGCCAGTGTTGCTATCACAAACAAAGCAAGATGGTAGTGATTTGAGTGTTAAGAGTACCGACAGTGCCCCCTTAGCTGATGCACCTACATTGAGTATCACAATTAACCAGCAGGTAAAGCAAAGTAAGACTCCCAGCCCAGTTTTGGTGACAGTGAGCTCTGATGAGTGTCCTGATGAGAAAACAGTGACCATCAGTGAGAGCCTTAGGTAAGAATCACTCCTTATTTAACAGATGTACATGACTGGAATGTGAGTTGTACTCTTGCATGTGGGCTTGACAGTTTATTCTCACAAAATTTCTCCCTAGCCAATTAGACAAATAGATACCTGTGACATGGGAAGAAGTAACTGGATTCCATTTTTTGTTCTTGAATAGGAGTGTTTGGGAGAATGCTAGCCCTCCATCAGATTCCTCTGACATCATTTCAGAGGGCTCACTGCTACATAAGAAAGACATACATGGATCACAGGACACTCTCTACCACAGCTGCTGGTCTCTGTCTGATTTCCCAGGAAATGAGAAAAATGATGAGGCTAATGAAGATGCCAAGAGTCTGAATGAGAGTTTGCTGCCCAGCAATTCAGGCCCAGGACTAATGGACCTTGGTTTGAAGTGGTCCAGTTATGGAAATAGTATCCATGGCAACCCAGTATGGGCCAACATTCCCAGTGTAAGTGTCAATTTAAAATTTTCCTCCCTTGCCAGTGCGAAAGATTTTAATCTGCCCATAAAGTTTGGAACGTTTATGTTTTCAAGCCATGCCAATTGGAAAGAAGCGGCAATTTAATAAGTCGGTAGATTCAATGTAGTTATATATGCAAATCATAGTTTATAGCCCAAAACGACTTCAACAGATATATTTGTCACCTGCTATAATACGCTAGGTCATTGGTGAAATGCATTTTAAGATTCATTGTTTCAATATTATTTGCTGATTTTGCAGGCTTCTGCAAGCAATTGGAACCAGTCTCAGGAATCCCTTACCGCTGATGGATCAGGAAGAGGAAAGACTGTGTTCTCTCTTGGACTGGGGATTACTGGACCGGATCTGCTAGCTGCTGCCCGGGGAGGAAGGTACCTCATGTAGCAAGCATGAATTAATTATGTGGGATATTTAGATAGATTGAATTCTTTGCAGGTTCTGGTTTCGAGAAAACCTTACTTCAAAGTTCAAGATTTGCCTATCAAACTTTATTTTTTACCAAAACGTTTACCTGTGAGCCGTGACTTCGCGTGCTAGATCAAGTTTTGTAGGCTTGTTTCCAAACATATAAACTCGGGCTATGATATGTTTGGTCCAATAGTATTTTTTTAATGTTCTGCAGCTACATTCTTACTTCTCGTTGTTCATGTAATGGCATTTTGTGTGATTAATTTATAGTTGTGAGGCAATGCCTACGGATAGTGTCTCCTTTATACCTAATGTCGGAAAGCCTTGGAGTGTGGAAGATTTGGCACAGAAGGTAAACGTGCGTTTTCATGTTTGCTTGTTTGTTTCCCTCCTTAATTCCTTCTCTCCCTCTTTCTTTCAGTATTTTCTTTTTATTCTTGGTGGATAAAAGAATTATCATCTTATTATTATTATACGGCGATAACTACCCGAAAGCTGGAAAGGAAGCACTTTCCTTGTTTTTAATGATCGTCTTTGCTCTTGGGTTTGATTCTCATAGAGAATTGAGGGGGGTAAAATTATGACCCCTCCTACATGCGAGGTGTTTTATTACTCGGTTATCATTTGTTTTTTATTATTTATCAAGTTGACATTGAATTGTAATACGTGATGATTTTCATAATTTGTTATTTCATCAGAATCCTTGGTCCTCTCGAGATTCTTCCCCTCCTCCGCTGTGGGCCAAGACGACATCGTTAACGGAAGACACTCTGAGGCCTTCTCACCATCGGCCTCCCCTTCCTCCGCAGCACTACAGCGACCCTTTCCTCCCAAGGGAGAACTGGTGGCCTCAGGGGAGGGGTGCTGTACCTTCAGGATATCCCCACCCCTCTTATGCACGTTACCATACAAACCTTCAGCGTCAACGTGCTTTTGACAATATGCCATACGGAAAGCTAGGTACTTTGCAGCGAGGCCGCGGCACAGCGGGTGCACAGTCGGCGTTCCAACCGGTTCTAACAGGTTTTCGTAAGCAAGGTCAGCAGTTACCGCAAGCTCATCTTCAGGTACCATCTCACTACGGAGCAGGGCATGGAACCCAATACAAGTCAAATCCCCGCTTTTAATTCCGGTGAAAATTGAGTAGAGTGACTATTTTACGTTGTAAACTTTTTATCTTGTTTTAGTAACTGATGAATGATTTTTAGTTTTATTCTTTAATCTGTTCGGGGAGACCTACTCGAATGACTGATGCGTTAGAAATACAACAACTTTGAATCTGTACGCTATGAGCCGGAAAAAAATTTTTGCTTTGTCTCATGGAAGGGAAATATCAACGTATTGTCAAAAAGAGAGGGGATTAAAATGAAAAGATATATTAACACCAAATTGTTAGAACCAACTTTATAAAATATGTTTGTTATTTAGGAAAGAGATAAATTTTAAGATATTGGTGATTAGAAGCGTTTAACAAAGGATTACATGTTGTAAGGAATCATTAATTAGTTATGGGACTTGACATATCTTTTGTATTGGCTTGAAATGCCATAATCTCGGATATCATGATTTGATTGTTTAAGAGTTCATACTGATGTGTAATATTTGAATGTTATTTTTGGACAAATGATCTATTATTGTATAAACAACTGGGATTCAACTGAAAAGCAAGATGTAAATGTGAAGTAAAAAAAGCTTATTACGGATAGCATCAGATGTCATTCAAAGTCAGGCTCGCATGAAGCCTGTAAGATGTTCATCGATTGCATCTTTGTTTGTGAGAAGCCGCTGCCTTTTAAAGAGCTATTTGGAACGCGGGCGCGCCACGTGGCTCATATTTGATTTAGATGTAACCTGTGAAGTAGGAAGTTAGGCAAGGCTCTTGTGCATTGTGCGATTTTCTTGTGAAATCTGGGAAAATCGTATCTTGTCATTGGCTGGTTTGAACTATTTTATTGATTCAAAGAAGAAACTGTTTCATATTACTTAGCTGTAATTGCGCCGAAAGCAATCACTCTTTGTTCCTTTTGACAAATTTAATTTTTTTTATTCCATATCCATACATGCACTATGTGATGGTAATTTGTCAAATCGTTTTTGCAATAAAGCCTTTTCTTTCTTTCTTTTTTTATCTTTGATGCGACCGAGGCATTGGTTAAAGGCTCAGTAATGTCGCTTAGATTTGATGGTAGTCATCGCATTCGTGCTTGATACAAGAGTATAGGATACTACTGCTGAGTGTCGTCAGAAGTTTTAATTTTGTTACGGCCTATGTCACAGACAACTCATTTATGAGTTTCCTGTATTTAGTGCTTTGTTATACCACATGACTTTATCCTAATTTTTATTGTAGATTTAATAGTTTTGACTTTCACTGAGCTTATTTAATCAGACACAAGTTTTAATATTTTAATATCTTATTTTAATGTCAATGTTACTTTTGCTCCAGTAATTGGGTAAATTGCCTTTACTTTTGTAGATCTCAGAAATAAGAAGGTCGCGCTACTTTTGGTGACATTTCAGTCGATGGATAGCGTGTATTCAAAATAACTAGCGTAGGATTATTATTTAAAAAAATCAAATATTACTTTGAAAGATGTCGAGCATTTGATTTTCTTTGGCTGAACGACTAGAAGGACGTGCCAGTTTTAGTGACCTGGCCCTAAGAGGCGGCCCATAGAAACCTGATGGTATGCGTTATCCTTCAGAGTTATATCATGAAAAACAAAGTTCAGGGTAGTAGCGTAATGATGGTGATGTAATGTTATATCTTTGCAACACTCAGCCGTGGGAACTGAGTTTCGTAACTAAGGAGAGTTTTCGAAAGTCTTCTTACAGTGGGGCAGGTTGTGTTACCTAGCCACTCCACTGACGACTTAAACCGCAGGCTTAGTGAGGACTGGTACCTCTTCCCTTGACCTCCTTACGCAACGACTTAACACTACGTCACCATCAAGAAAAGCGTGGGTCGTACTGGACGAGATTAATTAAGTAGTGACTAGGCTGCAGTAAGACGCTAACCGAGCTACATTTTTAAAAATAATTGCAATACTACACTCTCTGTGATTGGTCCTCAACATATCACTAAATTAATAAAACTACGTTATTTAAGCAATTCCCTGCAATTGCTATTAGATTACTGGCAAAGTAATCCACTGAGGTTGATTGATTGATTGATGTTTCTTGTAGTTTTGGTCACAATAGCTGATAAGGTAATAAGGAAGAATGAGTTAAAGAGATTTATTGTAATAAAACGAAGTATTATTTGAACATTGAGTCTGAGATTAGTCTTTATCAGATGGCAAAAGTGTGACTGGGAAAAATAATTTGAGCATCTTCAATTGGGTACGGGAATGAGCCATTTTTTCGCCTTTTTTCTGTCTTTTCGGTTTTTGCTGTTGTTGGTGTTGTTGTTGTTATTTTTACCTTGCATGGCATTATATTCTCCTTATTTGGCATTTATGTGAAATTTCTTAATAATGCTCTTCATGTGGCCGCCTACTGCTGTAGTGAGGCCCTAAGGATGTGTGAGTCAGCGGAAGCCTGCGCAATAAAATGGCGGGAAAATCTTCCCGCCAAGGAATTGGAGCAGTTGAAAACCTTGGTCGACCTTTCGCGAAGAACTTTCATTCAGTTCAATGGAAACGATATTTCTGCCTTCTATCTTTCTTTCAATAGCTTATCACATCTTTCACTGACTGATTTCACGACGGAACTCGAGCAGACACTCATCCCCTAAATAATTATAAAATGAGGGACCGCGAAGCTCTGTTTCTCGGTTCTCTGCCAAGCTTCGACGAACTAATGGCGGTCAAAGCCATCATTCAATCGAGAAACGACGATGAAATAAGCACTATCCAGCCCTTGTGTTGCAGGTATAGTTTATTTCGATAGCCCTAAGGTTACTGCTATTTTTAAACTCGATTTTACTGGCAAAGCATAAAGATGGTAGCTTTTGCCTCAGTTGATTTGCAGGTGTTTGAATTTTGCTTGCAGAGAGTTAATTTTCACGGAACCCAAAGTTCTTGTGTCACCATTAATGGAAGAACGGAATCAATTATTTCTCATAACTGCGGTTGGTATCAATTATTTTTAAACCGGTAGAACTGGAGCCGCTATGTGTATTATAGCAACTGATTGATTATTTGAATTTCAAATACACAACGATGAACACAATGCTTGAGTTGTATTGAGGGTAAAACCAAATTGAATAGTTGCATGAGCTAACGAAGAGAAAAAGTTATTCAATTAAATTGATTATTTATTAACTTATTAATTCGTTGTTGTTCAGTGTTGTTGTTCTTGCCTTTGTTGTCGTTATGGTTGTTATGGTTGCTGTGTTCGTCGTGGTAGCTCTTACAGATTTTATCAAACCGAGATGTGTACTTAAAGATTGTGCTCTTTATCTGAATGGCATTCCGTCTTACAACTTAATTTTCCTTTCAACCATGTACTTTTTAGAAGCCAATGTCTAAGTCTCCTCAATTTCAAGAGCTACTGCAAAGGCTGAGCATCAAGGTAATCATGACTACAGCTCAATCAAATGGAGTGTGAAATCAGCCCAGAAACACTTAACACATTACCTCTCCAAAAATAGTTGGATAGCTAACCTGGACTCGCCTGAAGAGAAAATACTTCCTCCATCAAACTCCGATTGTAAGGGTCCGTTCGTTTTGTAGCAAAGACTCAGATGTGTGAACTGCCCCACTTTCCCTTCCAGTCTATTTTGTATACAGAACAATAGTTGTGTTTATCTATTCTTAACAGATTACAGAACCAGTAACCTTGACTAGGACTGTGTTTCAGTTCTGTTTTTCTTTCACAATGAGACAGAAACTTGCACCGTTGTGGAACAAAGCTGGCGAATTTCTTGTCCAAGGTAATTTTGGTGTGGCCGCAAATCATTCAGTTGATTCTTTATTTACATCTTATGAAGAATGCTGTATGTGAACTTTGTATACAACAAAAATGTTTGTTTCGTAGCAGGAAAACACTCTGTCACAAAGTAGGTTTGGGATATTTCAACACTTTCAAGTTTAGCCTCTAAGAGACCATTTATTATCTATTGCCTGGAGAGGGGGAGTGTCGGAGGGTTTTTCTTTTGAGGGGGGGAGGGGGTATCGCAGGGTGTTCGGGTGGAAGGGAGAGGGATCAGATGCTGCCAACAGAATATAAAGGGGACAATAAGAAAAATTGACTGTAGCTCCCACCCCACCCTCGCCAGTCTCCCAGGCTATGAATAATGAATGATACCTAAATGCTTGCAAAAACACTGAAGCTATTTTGCTTGTCAATCAATAAATTATTTCACTTTGTACAGTCTTATTTATTCATTTATCTATATTGCTACATAGGTCGAGACTTCATGCTGGAAAATTCAAAGCTAAATGCAATCTGTAAGTAATATTGAGACATTATCTGGGAGAGTTAAGCTGGAATTCTTATCTGAACTTGGCAACGTTCACTTCCTCCCTTGGCTTAGTAAAAGACAGTTTGGATAAGAGTATAAAACTAAATTTTCCACCACTCTTAGAGGAACAACTCACTGTTGCCCAATATTAAGAATCCTCAGCTGTTAAGTTTCAGTTTTATAAGAGAAGCTTGGAGAAATTATATCTTGATGGCTGGAATGGTAATCAAGAATGAGGTCGCAAATTAAATAGTCAACTCTGTTCTCGCTATTCGTTATATCTTATGCAAACCATGTTTTCTCAAGTTTTAAATCTAATGACTCCCCTCTTTTTACCCAATGAAGCTCGAATTCATTGGTCTTTGAAGTCTTTTTAGTGCAGTTTACGTTAAAATTGCAGCTTTGGAAGTAACAATCACCGACAAGATTTTCATTGGATTGCAACCTTTTTCTCTCAAGTTAACCCCGTGCAAGGTATTTGACATTTGTAGAGCCTCTGTCCACTTAAAAGTATTCAATTTTACGGGCGAACGTTCAGGGTAACCGCAAGAGGAAAAAGACAACCATTTCATCTACGATGAGTTGTATTTTTTTTTCAAAAGCTTTATCTTGAGTAAATCTTCGAAAATTATGATAATCTACCGAACGAAATGTGCATTCGCGGCGCAAACCAGGCGCGTAAGACATCGTTTGGTTTTTTTTGGTACTTTGACCTTTGCTTATTTTATTTTATTTTAATTTTTATCTAGCCTGAGCATTTTACCGCGTCAGTAAAAGCACTAGAAGAATTCCACAGTAACAAAGAATCTCACATTAGTGACATCTCTATTTCTGACGACTTGTGTTTTGTGTTGCCAAGGTAAGCTACCTCACATAAGCATTCAACTACAATCATAGTAGATTTGCATCAGAGGAAACTTCATACGTACATTGCAAAAAAATAGATAGAAACTGTGCGCTATTGACTCGCTGGACTCGCTTTCCTCGGGGTATAGTGCTGCTGCATTAGATGAGGAATACGTTTCCACATAGTTTTTGGCCACTTCTAAAGAGTGGTTTTTTAGTGGTTTTTCGTATCTGGCGTAGCACAGCCTATTTTTGTATAACCCTTTATTTTCAGTGAATACTTGCAGAACATTGCAGATTGTAGTAGGATGTGTAGACTACAAGACTGGCTGACTTCTCGCGTGCATAAGCTTTCCAACCTTTTTTAAAGAGGGCTGAAAGGAGGCGTGGTGGGCTTTTTAATGATCTTGATATCCTAACTAAGCAAAAAAATGTTATCACGCTTACAGCAGAAAATGGAGTTCAGAAATGCTTGGAAAGATGTTCTATTGTAAGAAAGCTTATATCTAGTGCATCTTATCGTTATCTTGCTGTCGCAAATTGACCTTTGCACTGTTTTAGCCTTAAAAAAGGAAGGATTGTTAGCATAACACACCAAATTCCTGATGAATGCCCTTTTACAAGTTACGAAGAACTGCGAAAACATTGGAAACTGATGGTATGAACATTGAAAGATTGAACATTATTGAAACGGATAACCGATTCAAAGTAGACTGTTCCAGGGGTTAAGTGCGACAAAACGGAGCGCAGTATTACACGACGCGACAGTAGGGGCTGAGCAAAAAAATGAACGGCGCTATAGTCAGGTCGGGTCGCGTAAAGAACACCACGTTCCCAAACCTCCCTCCAGTTTTCGTCCCGCCGCTATTACCAAGCAGTTTACAATCACCCTCAATCACCTTCTTTACTAATTGAACGCATGGAACAGTCTAAATTCAAGTTCGTGTTAGAACCTGTATGATATTTTGATATCTAGTTTTTTTTTTGTGGGGACCTTAAAAACAAATATGAGTGTAAACTTTTCCGGTCTTTTATAAATAAGAGTAAAATGCTAGATTAGCTATTGTAGGAATTTTTATTCACGTTTATAAGTGAAACCATGCACCCCATTTTTGTAAATTATTTAACTTCGTCCACTTTTTTGGGCTTTTTATTTATTTCAACAGTACGGATACAGACTTCCACCGGAAGAAAATATTTTCTACAATGTACAGTTCTATTACATCAAAGATAAAATATTTACGTATCCTTTCCTCGACGTTTTTCGAATAGTGCAATTTCCGACTTTGTAATGGGGCCCTAAGAATACTGAATGTAAGTTAATTTTGTGGCTTAATTAAGAGGCTGGACTGGAAAAAAAGGAGACTTCAGCGGCCTCAAAAGCCATCGAAACCCCTGCCGGGTTTTAGTTGTAAGGAAAGCTTGTTAGTCCCATACTGCCCCTTCGTCGCCCCCCCAAAAGTGCAAATGGCTATGGTAAAATTTCTTAGAAACCTGACAAAATGGCGTAGAAGG